AATTTCCCACCTCAGAAGATGCTGGATGGAGTTTATGATTCTACCTATGGTCTTATGCAATGCAAAAGCTTCACAGGAGGTCTCTTTCACTGGGCAACTTCTAGCCCCCTTTAACATATTCCAATCAGTTATAGACTGAAGATGGACTTACAAGCTTTCTATTGTGAAGTTTCTGGCTATTCCTTTCTCTCCCCCCAAATGTCTATTTTACCATGGTAGGCAAGAGAAACCAAGATTCAAAAGACAGTCAAGCATCTTAACATTATTATCCCCCCTTTTACCAATTCAAACCAAGCCTCAATCCCTGTATCCCTGAGCCCTGTTGTTCCAAGGTTGTGCATACATCATCATTTACCTCTGTCCCACTTAGGCCATGCAAACCTAACTGTTCTCCAGTCGGCCTTGTTCTTCCTTTCCCCTCCCCCTTCTTGTATATTGTCCCCCAACACCACCCCCAGCACCCAAGCTATCCTGTGTCTATTCCCTACCCTGTGCTCCACCTTCTCCTCCCTCCCCTCACCTCCAATGGCTACCTCTTGAAATGGTTGACCATCAACCATTTCTTTTTGGTACAGTGACTGTGTATTCCTTCCATCTTCTTTTGATGCTTTCTGCATCATCCAGTATTTTGCCATAAAATCCTGTAATACGACAAGTCAAGGTTTGAATTTTTCTTCAGTTACTTACCTCAGCTTAACAAATGCTGGGCATGTTCTTCCCTTTGGGTTTCGAACTCCAGGTCTTTGCACCTTTTGTTATAATATTTGGCTTTCTCTTTTCTAGCTGACCTTTGAAATTTTCTGTTCAGTTCTTGTACCTCCTCATTTTTTCTACTTGTTTTAGCATCTCTACACTGGAGAGCAAGTTTCAGAGTCTCTTCTGACATCCATTTGGTCTTTTCCTTCTTTCTTGTCTTCTCAGTGACCTTTGGCTTTCTTCTGGTATGATGTTCTTGATGTCATTGCACAACTCTTCTGTTGTCTGTCTTCATTGTCTAATGCATCAAGTGTGTTCTTCAGATGATCTCTAAATTCATGTAGGATATATTCAAGGTCACATATTGGCTCTCCTGGAGTTGTTTTAATTTTTCTTCAAGTTCAGTCTGAATTTGCATATGAGCAATTAATGATCTGTTCCACAGTCTGCCCCTAGCCTTGTTTTCACTGATGATATGGGAGCTTTTCCATCATTTCTCTCCACATATTTAGTCAATTTGATCTCTGTGTATTCCATCTGGTGAGGTCCATGTGTATAGTTGTCTTTTATGTTGTTTTAAAAAGGTATATTCAGTGAAGATTCATTGGTCTTGCAAAATTCTTTCATGTGATCTCCAGCATCATTTCTATCACCAACACCATAATTTCCAACTACTGATCCTTCCTTTTTGTTTCCAACCTTTGTATTCCAATCACCAGTAATGATCTATTACTACTACTGAATTGTTGTTGTTGTTATTGTTAAGTGCCATCGAGTTGGTCTCAACTCATAGCAACCCTATATAGGGTTTCCAAGGAGCAGCTGGTGAGCTTGAACTGCTGACCTCGTGGTTTAAACTTTGGCTTTGCAGTCCAGCACATTAGCCCACAGCACCACACCAGGACTCCAACGAATAGTAGGCCTAAGATCATTCCATTTGTGATATCTTAAAAGAGGCTTACATGAGTTTGTATGATTTTATATGAGTATGTGAGATTGTGTGAGGTAAGTTTAGACAGTTTTTGCACAGAATAATTTTGGAATGATATACAAGAAACTCATACAAGTGTTGGCGCTTTCTCCTGTGCAGCAGCTGGCAGGCACAAACCGTGGAACTAGTGGGTCACTGTCCAGTGCTTATCGTATGGAAGTCACACTAAGCCTTAGTTTTCCCATATTTTAAAAAAAGTTAATACTATCAATTTCATAGAATTATCTTGAAAATTAAATGAGACATTATTATGTATTTGTGGCATCATGATTAAGCAGTTGACTGCTAATCGAAAGGTTGGTGTTTCAAACCCTTCAGCTGCTCCAAACAAAAAAGATTTGGTAGACTCCGTCCATAAAATACTCTAGCAAATAGTTCCACTCTGCCCCCTTAGGGTTCCTGTGAGTTAGAAGCAACTCAATAGCAACAGGTTTGGATGATTTGGGACTTATTTTGTTTGTAACCTACTATGTTTCAGGTATTCACAGACAGGGAATATAATGATCTGTAATTGAATCTATAAAATGAACATTTTAAAACACTATATGGTTTGAGCTGGACTCTAAAAATGTTTAGTCCTTGATATTTCCAAAGAAGGGATCATGATGGCTCAAGAAGATAAGCACTGGACTATAAACCACAAGTTCAGCAGTTTGAGTCCATCAGCCACCTGTAGGAGAAAGATGAGGCTTTCTGCTCCTGCAAAGATTTATAGCCTTGGAAACTCTATACAGGGTAACTGTGTGTCGGGACCAATTTAATGGAACCTAACAACAACAACTCACAAAGGAGATTATAACACATTAAGGGGATATTTTGGAGGCTGGCCAAATTGTAAAAGGGACTCTTTCTTGGTTAATAACATTAATAGAAAGTAGTTCTCTTTTTAAAACTAGGTTTATAGAAATATGGAATCTTTGCAAAATTTCAATTATGCTTTGATTAGAGTATAGAAAACAGTGTTTACTTTCTATAGTCAAGAACTATAAAAAAAGTTAATTGAGCAGAAATTTTAGAATTATAGCATGTATAGTTACAGAAATTGGAGCTGAAGAAGCAAACATGGAGCAAAGTATTTGAGAACCAGTAGGTCAGGCTGCAGGTCTTAGTGGGAGGATTGTAGGAGGATATGAAAATAAATAAAATCCTTTACATAAGGTATCTGTCACAGACTCAATTATGTCCCCAAAAATATGTGTCATCTTGGCTAGGACATGATTTTCAGTGATTTGGCAGTTATATAATAATGTCGTTTAGAAGTTATTATATGATATAAATTGGTAATTTTGTAATGATGTCATCATTCTCTATTTTGTGATCTTATGTAACTATATTCTACATTGCATAAGTTATAAATTCTATGAGGCAGGATTAGTGTAGGGTGTACCACCTTACTTAAGTTGCCAACTTTCATTATCTTACTGAAGTCATGCACTTGCGTGAGTCTCATGTTTTATCTTACAAGAGATAAAAGAGGAGAGAAAAATAAGCAGAGAGACCACATTACTACCAAGAAAGAAGAGCCAGGAATAGAGTGTGTCTTTTGGACCCAGGGTACATGCACTGAGAAGAACATCATAGGCCCAGGGGAAGACTGATGCCAAGAAACATGGAGATCTTCAAGGAACTAGGAAGCAGAAGTTGAAAAGACAAGATATTTCTTCCAGAGAAAACTGAAAGAGAAAGCCTTACTGAGAACCAGTGCTCTGAATTTGAACATCTAACCTCCTAACTTGTAAGATAATAAATTTCTGTTTGTTAAAGCCATTCACTTGTGGTATTTCTGTTGAAGTAGCACTTGGAAACTAAGATGGGATCCTAAACCTCTTTTATTATTACTAATGACTGTAGTTTTACCTGAGCCTATAAACTCTATATAGAAGCATACATTTATTAAGCACTTACTATATACATAATTAACTCTGGTAGCATAGTGGGTTATGAATTGGACTGTTAACTGCAATGTCAAGAGTTCAAATCTGCCAGCTGCTTCAAGGGAGAAAGATGAGGCTTTCTGTTCCTGTAAAGATTTTACAGCTTTGGAAACCCTATACAGGGTCGCAGTGAGTCATAACCAGCTCCATGGCATACCACCACCATCACCACTATATACATATCACAGTGCTAAGTCTTTGTATCCATTTACAATGTTCCACAGCAACTATTACTTCCCTCTTTATAAGATTAAGAAATAGGTTCAAATATGTCTATTAACTGCTCAAAGTAGCTGGTAAATATCAGATCTAGTCGTATAAATTAAGGTTGACTCCAAAACCTGAACTTCTCTTTATGTTAACTTCCTGTCACAAACTCTATGCCAGAATAACTGGAGCATGTGGCACTGTGGGTAAATGTGCTAGACTGAAAAGCCATTTGAACTGCAAGGTCAGCAGTTCAAAATCACCAGTCGCTTCTCAGAAACCCTATTCAGGGTTGCTACGGGTAGGAACCGACTTGATAGCACTTAACAACAACAACAACAAACAGATATAAGCTTGTTGATTGCAAATGAAGGGGTAGGAAACACAACCAGTTATGCAGACATGATAATTAGCATTTTATAAAGTACCAAGTATATTCCTGTACTGTATGGTCCAAACAAGTATGTGTTCAAAAGATTATTTACATTATCTCAACTTTTATCAGCTATCACTCTCATTTTATATGTGAAACATTGAGCCCAGAGAAACAAAGAAACTACTTCAGTTGGTAAGTGTTAAAGCTAGGATTTAGACCCAAGCTTATATGGCACTAAGCTCAACATTTTTTTTACTGTGCTACACTGTGATGTTTTAGGAAGGATAATTTGGTGTCAGGCTCATAGGATTCCTTGGAGGAAAGAAAATGCTCATAGGAATACTAGGTGCTTAGCAAAGCTTTCTGATTAGCCTCTCCTAATCCCAGATCTTTTGTATATTTTCCATCTTCATTATCACGCTTACCCCCATGGGAGCTGATTTTACTATCCATTCTTCCTAAATGGACTCTCTTCTTTCTCTGTTTACATGCTAGATCTACTACTCCCTACTTCTCATACCCCTATCAGCTAATGGGTGGTCTCACTATTCTACTCCTCCCTTCCAATTTCTCTTCCTTTATAGGAATGTGTTTGAAAGCCCTCAAATGTGCCCTATAGTTATTCTCAGTTTCAGTTTCTTATTCTTATCTTATATAATTTTAGTTTCCTAGAACAGAATAAGTGTTCATTAAATTTGCATTTTTGTAATTTTTTTCAGACCTGAGGATAAGACTTGAAATCAAAGAGTCAACTCCAAAGCCCAACTTTACTGAAGATTTTTCCCATGGGGTTATAATGGAAAGGGAAATTCTCTGGCATTCTACTTTAGGAGAAACCTGGAAACCTGATAATTATTTAGAAGGTGAACTAAAAAAAAAAAAAAAAAACCAAGATAGATATCTGGGTCAAGTAGCAGTTACTCATACAGAAATCTTCACTAAGAGGAGGGTCTGTAAAGGGAATGAATTTGAAAGATGTTCCAGCCAAGGTTCAGCCATTGATACACAACAGAAAACCCCTATGGAAAAGAAGTGCCACAATTGTAATTTGCATGAAAAGATGTCAAACAAAATTCTGAATTAATTAAAACTCAAAATATGCTTATCATTAAGAAACTCTGAGTGTAATGAATGTGGGAAAGTCTTCAGCCAGAGCTCTTCCCTTCTTAAGCACCAGAGGATTCATACTGGTGAAAAACCATATAAGTGTAATGTGTGTGGAAAGCATTTCATTGAACGGTCCTCCCTTACTGTATATCAAAGAATTCATACTGGGGAGAAACCCTACAAGTTTAATGAATGTGGAAAAGCCTTTAGTCAGAGCATGAACCTTACTGTTCATCAAAAAATCCATACTGGGGAGAATCCCTATAAGTGTAAAGAGTGTGGAAGAGCCTTCTGTAAGAATTCATCCCTGATTCAACATGAATGAATTCATACTGGCGAGAAACCCTACAAATGTAATGAATGTGGGAAAGCATTTCCCAAAGCATGAATCTTACAGTGCACCAGAGAACTCATACAGGAGAAAAGCCCTACAAATGTAATGAATGTGGGAAAGCCTTCAGTCACAGCATGCATCTTATTGTACATCAGCGGCATTACACTGGAGAGAAACCCTATGAGTGTAGTGAATGTGGAAAAGCCTTTAGCAAGAGCTCAACTCTTACCCTACATAAGCAAAATCACACTGGAGAAAAACCTTACAAATGTAACAAATGTGGGAAATCCTTTAGCCAAAGTATATATCTTACAGAACATCAGAGACTTCATTCTGGAGTAAAACCATTTGAATGTAATCAGTGTGGAAAGGATTTCAGTAAGAATTCCTCTCTTACTCAACATTGGAGAATTCACACTGGAGAAAAACCTTATGAGTGTATGGCATGTGGAAAACATTTCCCTGGGAGATCATCCTTAACTGTACATTGGGCCATTCATACTGGAGAAAAAACTAATGAATGTGGGAAAGCCTTCAGTCAGAATGCTTATCTTATTGAGCATCAAAGAATTCATACTGGTGAGAAACCCTATGAATGTGATCAGTGTGGTAAAGCCTTCATTAAAAATTCATCCCTTATAGTGCATCAGAGAACTCATACAGGAGAGAAACCATATCAGTGTAATGATTGTGGAAAAGCTTTCAGTTGGAGTACAAACCTTACACGACACAGAAGAACTCATACATGAGAAAAATTGTGTTATTGCAAAGAATTTAGAAAAACCACACATTCTGAAGATTATCTTCAATAATAATCAAAGAAGCCATATAACGTTGTTATTGTTGTTAGGTGCCATCAAGTTGGTACCAACTCATAGTGACCCTATGCACAGCAGACCGAAACACTGCCCAATCCTGGACCAACCTCACTACTGTTGCCACACTTGAGTCCATCGATGCTGCCACTTGGCCTATCCATATCATTGGGGGTCTTCCTTTTTTTCTCTGACCCTCCACCTTACCAAACATGATATCCTTCTCCAGTGACAGTTCCCTCCTGACAATATGTCCAAAGTATGAGAGATGAACTTTGGCCATCTTGGCCTCCAAGGAACACTCTGGCTGCACTTCTTCCAACACAGATCTAACAGGTCTTTTGACAGCCCATGGCACTTTCAATATTCTCCTCCAATACCATAACTCAAAAGCATCAATTCTTCTATGGACTTCCTTATTCACTTTCCAGCTTTTGCATGCATATGAGGTTATTGAAAATACCAGGGCTTGGGTCAGGCACACCTTAGTCCTCAAGCTGACATCTTTGCTTTTCAACACTTAAAAAAGTTCCTGTGCAGTAGATTTGCCTAACACAATACTTAACTCATACCAATCTTTCTCCATTGATAAGAAGGTTGCTTATTGGTCCAGTGGTGAGGATTTTTGTTTTCTTTACATTGAGATGTAATCCGTACTGAAGGCTGTGCTCTTTGATCTTCACCAGTAAATGTTTTAAGTCCTCTTCACTTTCAGCAAGTAAGGTTGTATCATCTGTATATCGCATGTTGTTAATGAGTCTTCCTCCAATCCTGATGCCATGTTTTTCTTCATATAACCCAACTTCTATTATTTGGTCAGTATACAGGTTGAATTCGTATGGTGAAAGAATACAACCTTGTCGTACACCTTTCTTAATTTTCAACCATTCAGTGTTCCCATGTTCTGTTCAAACAACTACCTCTTGGTCCAGGTACAGATTCCTCATGAGCACAATTAAATGTTCTGGAATACTCATACTTCGCAATGTTGTCCATAGCTTGTCATGATCCACACAATCGAAAGCCTTTGTGTAGTCAATAAAGCACAGGTAAACATCTTTCTGATATTCTCTGCTTTCAGCCAAGATCCATCGGGCATCAACAATGATATCCCTCATTCCATGGCCTCTTCTGAATTGAAATATCTTAGTTGAAATATAATCTCATATAATATATATAGAAAACATATCAAAATGGAGATAAATGGTAAAATTGATTGTAGAGCAGAGGTTTAAGTAGCTCATATTCTACACACACAAAAAAGGATGCATACATAATACAAGTTCTATTATGATACCATAATGCATAAATATTTAGATTTTTATAGCTTCTACTGTTAACATCAAGGAGCTCTGGTAACATAGTGGATTATGAACTGGGCTATTAACCTCAGGTCAGCAGTTTGAATTTACCAGCTGCTCCACAGGAGAAAGATGAGGCTTTCTGCTCCTACAAAGATTTACAATCACCACTTCAAATATTTCACAATGGGATAAAAAATGGTGAATGTTTAAGATGACAAAGACCTGGAATCTGCCACTAATCTGAACAAGTCACCTACTCTCAATTTTCTCATTTGCTACAAGAGGGATTTTTTTATTTAGAAAGTCTATATCAGCTCTAAAATGCTTAGAAAAACTTGATCTTTAAACATGTTATATATGTTACAGCCAAGATGCTTCTCTTCTACAATATGGTTTTCTTAGATGTTTTGAATCAATATTATTTACTTCTACTGACCCCATTACCCATTTATTCCTCCCTTCAATAACATCATCTTCTTCCTTAAATTATAGATTGGTTCCTAGTAGGTGATGGATTAAATGTACAGATATTAATGAGATTAAAGTGCTGTCTTGAGTCTTAACTGATAGTCAGTAAATTTGTTAAACAAGCTGATTATTTAGAAAATACAATATAATTAATAATTTCTAAGTACATGAAAATCAGATAAATACATATCCTTGTGTAATGTTCTGACTGTAAAAGTGGAAAGGAAACAGGAGAGAGGCTAAATACTAATAGACACAGAAATCTGACATAACAGTAATAAAATCTGCAATTCAAAACATATCAAATATAATTATTAGGAAATTTTGGCATCTTGCAGGTTAGTTTTAAAGTTATAATAGTATATATACTTTTGCTTAAAGCTAAATATGTACTATATAGGATGTTGGGTAATAGAAATACAAAACGGATTAAAATATATTTTCTGTTCTCAAGGACTAATCTAAGAAAATGGAATGAGACAAGATGGAAATAATTCAAGTGATAACAAATCAATAATATAACTTGGTAACTGGTTAAATATAGATTCTTCTTGTTGTTAAGTGCTGTTGAGTCAGTTCCAACTCATAGCAATCCTGTACAGGGTTTCCCAGGAGCAGTGGTGAGTTCGAACCTCCAACCTTGCAGCTATACTGAATTTATGGCCAAGTGCTTATAAAAATGTCTAGAATGTCTTGAGTTGTATCTGGGTGGAGAGTGGAAGCATAATTAAAATAAAGGAAAGTTGACCAAATTTATGGGACAATGATTAGTTCAGTTTTATGGAAGTTTCATGATTCTGTGATTCATACAGGCAAAGATTTCTGGTAGGCAGTAGAGTAAGTAGAAGGTAAATAACAAAGGAGGTTCTGTGGTGCTGTCAGTTGTCAGGGACCTGCCTCGACAGGGGAGTTCGGTTCACGAAATAGGGAGATCTGGTGGAGACAGAGATAGAGAAAGAACACACACAAAGACGCAACAAGAAAGACAAAGAGACACCTCGAAACTAGAGTGGATGCAAGACTGGCGGGGAGACCCTGGACTACAGGCATCATGGCCCTGCAGGTAGTAAAGCACAGCCCTGCAGGCAGTAATGCACTGCCCTGCAAACTATAATGCATACAGGGTTCAGTCTGCGCCCCCTTTTTATTTCAGGGAGGGGCTTTACACAAAGGCAGAAGGGGATTATTAAGACAGGGTACAGAAATGAAATGTGATTAATCATTCAAAACAGGACACAATGATTTACAGGAACAAATTCTAAAACATACATCGCAAACATCTTAATTTTCCAGAAATTCAAGCAAATTGTTATAAATTATTTTTTAGGTTTCTCCAGGCTAATTAACATACCTATAGCACTTAATCTCGAATGGGAAAAGGTGAAAAGGATTCAAAAGGTCTGGGAGGAGTCCAGCTGTTTCAGCTACCTGGCCTAGGCTTGCAGGAGGAAGAAGAACACCTAGGTTAATGGTTTACATCTGGGGACGATTTGAGAAGGCTGTTACTATTATTCCTTGAACAATACCGCGGAATTCACCAATCTACTTTGAGTGAATTCCTTGGGCAGACTGTCTCCAGAGCCTCCCAGCAAACTTGCCTTTGGAACTTTTTACAGCCTCGGCCTTAGAAGAGGCTTTGGTATCAATATTGTACATGGATACTAAGAGCTCATGTATTAAGTTAATATCAAACATAACTGAATAATTTGATAAAGAACAGTTTGGACATGCTTGCCAGGTGGCCAGAGCTTGTCTCTCAGAGAGATTTGTTCCCAAGACCTTACACACTGACAACACAGTGGAGACATTAAGAGAGGCACATAAGAAACCATTTTCTCAGAAGCTACAATTACTGGAGTTAGAAGCATAGAATGAATAATAAGACCAAAGAAAATTACACAGGGGAAGCCCAACAGTGAGTACGCAAAAAACCAAGGAACCCGGGACGTCAGGAGGTCACTTCCTTGGGCCCTCAGGGTCCCTGGCTAGCCATCCTGATTGGGGCCATCGTGTAGGATTTTCGTCCATGACACAGGACCTCAACATCTCAGTGATTGTGGTCTCCAACAGTCAGTGATTGGATTAAGTGAAGGAAGAGTAATCATAAGCTGAGAGGAAATGACAACCCAAAACACCCTATTGCCATCAAGGCGATTCTACTCATAGCGACCCTATAGGACAAAGTAGAATTGCTCTCTAAGGTTTCTGAGGCTTTAAAAATACAGGAGCAGACCACCTCATCTGTCTCCATTGGAGTGGTTTTGCATTACTGGTCTTGTGGTTAGTAGCCCAACATGTAATCTACTATGCCACCAGGGTTCTTAGAAAAACAACAACAACGAAATAGAAAAACAGAACATAGTGTCATGTACTGAAGAAAATTTTAATGTAGGGATGGGGATAATTAACACCAAATGCTATGAAGTCTAGGTGTGGCACTGTAGGATAAGCACTGGATTGTTAAACATATGGCCGGCAGTTCAAACCCACTAGTTGCTCCTTGGAAACTCTATACAAGGTAGTTATGAATCAGAACCAACTCAACATCACTTATCAACAACAACATGGGAAGACAAAGATAGAATTATTTCCACTGGTTTTGCTTACTGGCAATCTCTGAAAATTTCAGTGGGTTGAAGACTGAATTAAAAATGGAAAGAGACTAGTAGCTTTACTGTAAAAGGAGAGATTTACAAAGCTGGCCAGGTAGGAGTTAGGGTATATAAAGCAAAAGAACTTTTAGCTGCAAATAGCAGAAAGCCCAGTTAACATTGGCTTAAACAAATAGGGATTTCTTTGTCTCACATAACAAGCAAGCTACTATCAGTACCTTGAGTATAACACCTTGTCCATAGTGGCTAAACAATGGCTGCCATAGCTTGATGTAAATTAACTGCATTTGAGGCAGGAAGGAAGAGGGATAATAATCACAACAATTGGGGCTTTTTAGGAAAGGTTTTTGCAGAAACTCCAAGCAGAGTTCTGCTTATATTTCATTCACTATAACTATTTTATATGACCATCCCCAGCAGAAAGGGAGACTGATAAAATTATTATTAAGCTTTCTCAATCTCTATGGAGTCCTGGTATGGCACTATAGGATATGCACTGGACTGCTAACTACAAGGCCAGAAGTTCAAACCCACCAGTTAATACTTGGAA